TCTTCTGCTCGCTCTGAAAGAATGAATGAATTTTCCCAAACATTGCTTTATTTGAAATCATGCAAAATTCCCATTCCTAAGCATCAGCAATACGCTAGATAACACGACAATGCCCAACTAAAAAAGAATTTATTCCTCTTGCTCAATCGCTTCGCTTCTCGAAACCCAAGTGAGAAAATTCGTTTTTTAGGGTTGAGAAAATCAAGAGGTTAACTCAATGCTTCACTTTTGAGCACCTGTAGGTGAGGTTACAAACAAAATCTATTTAATAATTGATGAGTATCAGCAGTTTCTTCTTCTTCAAAGTATAGTAAAGTCAAGTTGAAGTGCAGTCTGTTCCACCAAACAATTTCATGTCTTAGGGAGAAAGAACTCAATGCATAAATTTCATTCGCATAGTAAATAGATTTTTTAAGCACTCACGGTTTTAACTTTTATTCACTGCCTATTCTTTCTTCATGGCAGTGTACGTCATGAAGTACAACTACAAGGATGCTAAGATATGAGCAAAACTCAGAACCTTATGTGGGCATCGAACCTGCAATTATCTTTAGCCAGGCGTTCAAGTGTTTTCCTCTACACTGACCTAGGCGATCGCTTCGCCTTTCTCTCAGCTATATTTTAACTGGATCTAATGCACATTTGTGCTTCTCAGATCAATCCCGTTGACGGGTGAGTGCCGATTGGACAGATATAGTAAAACGTAGCAAATATAGTAACGTAGTAACGCAGCAAGTTCGTGAAGAGTGATGGGATTTTACGCAACGTTCCCAGAGAAATGGCTTCCGCTGGTGAGAAACTTGGACCCAACCTTAGTAGCAAGCTCCCGCTGCAGAGGGGAATAGTATCACCTAACACGGCGAACACGACTTCTTTCCCCAGTGCTTTCAGTTTTCGGAAGGCGATAACTTGAGCGTAACCGAGGAAAATCGGTGCATGTTTCTTTTGTCAGTTTTTCTTTTGGTAGTAGATTTGTCTCGAACAAATAGTCATTATGAGCAGAGATATGTTTGCTTAAAGTTTAAACAAGCTATTTATTTCAGCTACAAAATCAAAGAATATTCCACCAAACGTGTTATTAACGTTTTTTGATTTAACATAAAGCCTTTTTAACGACAACGATGCTGAGATATCTGCACAACTCCGGACCACAAATGCTTGCCGTAGGGAATGAACACGCTATTACCCTTTCTCATGGCTAGCGCGTTCACCACCACACCATGCGGGGCCTTCTTTTCGCCCTTCTCTTTTGCCTTGTATTCTTCCTTTCTAAAGCTTTTGTAGCCAATATGGGTCAAATACTGCAAAGAAAATGGTCACCGAAATCGAAAACACTTCATTGATCAAGTACCTCAAGTAGCCACTAGGTACTCAAGGTTCAATTCGATCCGTGTTCTACTCGTTCATGACACTTTAGTAACCTCATATTTTACTCACACGACGGTTTTTTCTATATCTTACGTGGTGGAAACTGGCTACGCGAAAACTTGTCGTCTTGTGCTATTGCATAAGCCCTCCCTTAACTGAGCATTCTTCATTCATTTTCAGAGACTGTCTCCTTTTTCTTTTCTCAATGAAATTGACTTCTGCAGCTATTCCACACTGGTGTAGATCTATCCATATCTCAACACCTTGATAGAATTCTCAACCAGCTTCTCAGAATAGTAGGCAATGCTATGGTTTGGAAACACTTCTTACTGATGATTGCACCAGATCGACACCGATTCAGCAATACAGGAAATATTTCGGATTCAATGGTAGATCATAGAAGGATTTTAAAAAGCTGATATATTTATTTATGAGATCTTATAAACTGGTCTTCTTAAGCTGACGCGAGGTTGGTACAGATCTTCGTTGTCGTTGTTTTTGATGTTATTGATCGATGGCTGACGTTTCGGCGACTTCGCCTTCCTCAGAGCCTGGACGTACTTTATGTTAGAATACTTTTTATTATTCGGTGGAAAAGAAGGTTAAAGTATTAATGAAGATCAAACTTTCAAATAGACGCCATATTGAACAGAAAGGCCACTCACCGTGATGCTACGTGCGGGACTGGCCCACACGTAGTTCACGTGGAGTCGCGAGCAAGACACGCCCCGGGCTCAAAATATCATTTTGAAATAGGGCGCCAGGTCACGTGTGATAGTGAGGCATTCGTCCTTCCGGTTCATCTTTGGATTTTTGAAATTTATCCAAAACGCCTCAAGAGTTTTGCGCGTTGATGTTTTTGATTCCTGCGCTAGGATCCGCACATTCACTTCAAAATCATCGCCGTTGTGCTTTTGTGCCCTATGCGTACCTAGAGGGGTGTTTAAACGGATTTTAGCTTTCCCATCTAGATGTTCTTTTATGCGGACACAAAGTGGTCTACCCGTTTCCCCTATATATTCCTCGCCGCATGCATTACATGAGATCAAGTATATTATACCTAAACTCATGCAATCCCCGTCTCTCCCGTTAGTACAGATCATACAGTTTTCTGAGCTGCACAAACGATCATAGAGACGGTTTCGAACTAACTGGCGGCGTAGGGTATTGGGTGGGATGTCAACAATCGTTACATAATTTTCAAGACCACTTTTTCTTAAGCACTTTTTAATGGCGTGACTTACTTCATTTGATATGAAGGGCAGCTTAAAGGGAATCTTATTTTCGTCTGAAGTATTATTTTGGGGAACTACCCAGTGTTTTCCTCTAACCCGAGTGGCTTCTACTTCGTAGCCATTGGAAATGGCAATTTTTCGTGCCAGGTTTCGCGATTCCTTCCTTTCCTCTTCTCCTGTGCACACACTTTTAGCCGTACGATACATATTTTTGATAAGTGCTTTTTTCGTATGTGAAGGATGAGAGGAGAGGCAGTGGACTAGAATGTTTTTACTACTTGGCTTGCGATACCATTTTGTTACATAGCCACTTACTGAGAGCTTTATTTGGATGTTTAAGAATGGAAGCCAGTTCTCGGTAGGTTTTTCTCGTGTAAATTTTATATACTCTGACTGTCGGTTTAATAATTCAAAGCACTCATCCATCTGTTCTTGTGTGGAACAGACGATGAAGCAGTCGTCTATGTATCGACAGTAGAGTAAGGGTCGGTGATCGAGAACTGGAGCTTCCACCTTAGACATGAAAGCGATGGCAAGGCTTGGTGCTAAACGCTGCCCCATCGCCAACCCTCTAATTTGTGCAAAATATTTTCCAGACCACCTAAAAACTAAACTTACAGACCAGACCCTAAAACTAAAAATCAACTATTTATGCCGAGGTTCATAGAAAGTCGGTCTTTCGAGTTATTAAGAGATTTAAAAAAGCGTTTTACCTGATTACCGTCAAAAAACACTTCTGACTTCTTTGAATTCGAATACTAACAAGTCTTACTAGTCTGTGTTCAGAAAAAATCGGTGACGTGAACGTTAATTAGTTGGTGAACACATACTGTGTTAATGTACGGCTTTATTTGATTTTTCGTTAAAAAAGTGGAAAGACCGGCCCAGAGACAAAACTGCAGTTTTTGTAGCCGCAGTAAATGTCATTGTTGTGTTTACCTTGGAATCAATCGTTTTAACTATCAATTAACTCAATCAGACATCAGAAACTTTGTCATTTATGTATCACAAAAATGGGCTCGTGTGGCGCAGTGGTCGTAGGCGCCCTGCAAGACAGACATGGCTCTGCGCCAGTGGCCTACTAAGCTTTCCATACCTCTGGTGTCGGCAAATTGATACCAGACTTGTCTGGGAGGAAATCCACACAGGCTCGATGCATCGATAGGCCACCGCGAGTCATTGTAAAGGCCAGATATGCATTCAATAATCTCCAAACGATGCTTAGTGAAGTCGAATATATACAACATCCCTCAGGGATTGATCAACGCCAGGAAACTTATCCTTTGTTTTTATTTATCACAAATATCACTGGCTCTTTCCTTCTCCCCTCATTAAATTTGATTTCGTACTGGTGTTTATTATCTCAACTCTGCCTCATGTTTTTTTCCCCTCGTCGTAATTGTCACTGTCTCAGCAAAATGCTGTTATGCGTAACAATCACACCAGTAATGGCAGTCACTTGAAATATGTGCTACTTTCAACAGTTTTCCTTTACTATGGATGGGTTTTTACACGATTTGATTCAAATGCACCACTTGAAGCTTACATACCGTAACTCTCCCTTCGGCTACTTTTGTCCTTCATTTAATCTATCGACTTTTCATATTCGTTCTTCAGAGATGACGATCGGACTGTTACCGACATCAAATCAAGTGCCGCAGAGTGTTGCCGAGCAACCAAAATTCTATTGGAGTAAACGTTTCAGTGTCCCACGACCAAATACCGAAAGGCCTGTAACCAGTCGACCGTTCGAGAGTTTCAGGTTCGACATCATTCACAACGTTTACGATTTTTCTACCGATTACAACCCTATAAAACCTTATCGTGTGTAAAAGCTTTTATTCACTTTTTTAATATTCCATAATCTTTACGAGTTTACTTCTTTCAGAAGTCATAAACATGCTAACAATCCGCCAATCACTTACGGATTTGCTTCGCTTAGCACTGAAGAGAAATCTGACGAAGAAATTGCGGGAACAGGTTCGTTCTACTTTTTTAGAAGAAAGAAATAATTCTGTTACATTCTAGATCTTTCCTCAACACGTACAAGCTAATTCCTTTTTGCATCAAGTTTCCTTAACTTATTTCGCTCATTCTTAAATTCTAATGTACATTTCCTTTAACGTTATGAATCCTTAGCTCCTGCTTTACCAAAATCTGATTATCCTCTAAGCAAAGTAATGGATTCCATTCAAATTTGTGCTGTAGGTAACCAATAATATTTTAGGTTTTAACATTATATAAAATAGACTGGTAATACTGAGACTACCTCAGGTAGTACAACAGTTCAATAGAACAGTCTTAAACCTTTATGCAACCCTGAACAGTGTCCCAGCTGTGGTCGTTGATTACGGTATGACTCGTTTTATAAGCAAAACTCACTTTCAAACTTGACGAATGTTTGACGACAATTGCTTATTTCTATTTTCAGCCGATCGATCATGGCCGACATCCTCGATCTTCTCCATTCACGGCGGTGGTCCAGGACCTTCCAAAGTTCGTCGATCTAATCGAATTAGAGCAAATATGATTTTTAAATCTGCGGAGGCTTTTCACTAAGATCTCATTCTTTAAGGCAACGTAAAGTAACTTTTTTCAAGTCCACGAATAAATTAGGTAGTGGGTAGTAGTGATGTCAACAATTAGGAGCACGGTACTGGTTTGATCCCATACTAGGTTCCCCAAGCCTCTGATCCCTACGGGGTCGGAATGCTAGTACTGGACTTGTCTCTGGGAAAAAAATCACTCGCTGCATTCCAAGTGGGAACGCTCTGGCCCGGGTATCTCAGGACTCCAGGGAGAATCGATACAACTTGTGTCAAAAGGCATTCAAGATGAAAGGAAAATCTTCAAGCAGCAACCGAAGCCACATGTAAAAGTAGTAAGATCTTTGTGTGTGATGGATGCGAGGAGGAAGGTGGAATGTGAGAAGTGCTGGAGTCCGCGCAGGAGATGTGAAAGACTAGTCATACAAAACTTTAGAAAAACACGAATACGTTTCTAAGATTATGACGGAATTACAGACTTACCATCTTTTTATACGACATGGTTGAAGGCGTCTTTAACTTTCTCCTAATGCTTATTTTTACATTTTCTGAACACTTTTGAAATGTCTCTCTGTGTTTTTTAAAGCTGTTTTCTCTGATTAGAAACTTTTATAGTTCTCGAATTATTTTTAGGTGTGCGAACAGCCGGTCGGTGCACAAGCAGACGTTTTCATTGCCTCACTTGGCGATAAAAATCTACATCTTCTTCGAAAATTTCTCGAAAATTCGCAACGTCAGGAGAATCAGTATTTCATTTGGATAAAGGATCACAATGTGGACAAGGTATTGATTTTAAAAGAAAGTTACTTTGAATAGCTAGCTTGAACTCATCACTTAAAGTTAGAAGTTCAGCACTATCATAACATAGTTTGATTTAAGACTTAGGTGATTTCTGGAAAAAAAAGCTGCTCAAAATACTTTTGAGTAAAGAGCAAGGTTTTTCTGCTCGAACCGACCAACATATTGCGCCGATGCTAATATTTGATCCATTCTATTCGTTTCCTCCTGTCCATCATCTATAGAGAAGTCTACGGATTTGCATCCGTATTCGGCTGCTTGAGGATTTTGGTCTTCTTCATAAATGTTCTTCGATGCTGGTCGATAAGATCTTGCTTGGAGTTTTGGAGTAGCCGTCTTCAGCGTCTCCTGGTCTTCACTACAAGTAGAACCAGTTCTATGGAGGGAGTGAAGTTTATAGACAAGTCGAACGCCATTCTTTCGTTCCCAAAAGATAAGAAGCCTGGTTGCCTTGTTGGAGGATCGAACTATGGCCTTTTGCGTGTTAAACGGCACCTCTATCACTGCACTGATTGCATTCTCTTTAAAAGTGCAAAACAAAGACTATAAATGAGATATTTGATGGAAATACCAGCAATGAGTTTAAAGAACACATCAACTTTTGCCCTATTTGGCTTGTTTTGAAGACGACAAGCATACTAGTAACAGCTGGATTCACTATGATCTTTAGGATAATAAAGAGAATGTGAGCGATATAGTTAGAAACTCAGAAGATGAACATAGTTGTTCTTCCACATCATTGTGCTTTATTTTAGTTCACGGTGATCTCAGTTAAAACCCTGGAAAACCATCTGAAGTCAGCACATCGAGTCCGACGGGTGAAATGGCATCACACGTCTTCATCTGATATGATGTCCGTCTATCGCTACAGTCTCCCACAGATGACCTATTATAAATCTAAGCACACTTGTGATTGGATATTGCGCCAAAAGAAACTTTGTATTTCTATTGTATGGTTTATATTTATACTGTCACTTTGTATCATTATAGTCTTAGGATCTGCGAAGTCTGATGACGTCACACACCACTATTTACGGAACAAAAACAACTTCACACAATTCGCTTTACAAGCTTTACGAAATATCAGCATTGGTTGAAGTATTCGTTAGCTAACCGTTCGAAATGAACAACTTAATAAAGCGTTACACTCGTTGATTTGCACGTAATGTTCTAAAAAGAAAAACACTGCATAACTACTTAGATAAAAATGTCTGCATCAGTTGTAGTTCTATCGAGCAAAACATCCAGTAAACCTAGCCAGCGGTGGCAGTAACGCTTTTAGTTTGTCTTTGTTGAGTGCCGAGTTCTCAATGTACTTGCACCACACGATCGGTGAACACGAGCAGCACTACATTTCTGGTGTAGCGCTCGTCATTTCGGTTTTGCTGGCGAGAAGGTAAAATAATCAATTGCTCACCGAGCTCTTTCATGGCATTACTTTAATCTTAGCTATATTTCGGCGTAAATATGTCTCATATGACAGCAAGCAACACCATTTGGCCAGTAAAGTGAAGAATTCTGGAACATTCTACGAGAATTCTATCAACATTTAAGAAATAAGAACTAATGACACCAATATAATTTTAATGATGCTGAGATCACTTCTGTATCTGTTCTGAACTAGCTGAGAGACAAGCGAAACGAGGGACCTGCATGGTGTGTTGTTGAACGCGTTACTCCCCGGAAAGGACAATAGCGCGTTCGTTCCCCGCCGCGGCCACCTGCGGTCTGGAGTTGTGCGAATATCTTAGTATTACAGAAGTTATATTTCGCAACATACCCTGCCGTTAAAAAAGAGTAGGCAGTAAATAATAAGTTAAAAAATAATGACACAAATATTTATCTATTTAATTAGACGAAGATTGGTCAACTCAGTATCGTCAAAGCTAGCGAGATAAAGCACAGCTGTATGAGAAAAATCTGCAGATCCGTGAAGCAGGCGCTTCTTTCGGGGCCAACGAACACTTCATTGCTCATATTTCTGATGAATACTGTCTTAGTTTGAGCTTCCTTCGACAAACATGAAAGTGTACCAGATTAATCGATTACTTTCTTCTTCGCTGAGTCGGTTGGCTTTTAAAGTTCTACTACAAGTGCATCGTATTATACTTACATCATCGTGGCTGATTATCGTTACTTGCGCGAAGGTATCTTCATGCAGATATTCCGATGACATTTTCCGTACTTCTTCCAAATAGGCACATTTAGACAACAACGAAGAACCAAAACTCGCTAATGAAGTCAAATGAAAGGCGGATCATTAAGGATTAATTCACGCGGAACGAGCTCTTCCTTACTCTCTATTGAATAACTTAGAGAATCGGTCTATTACATCGACTTTAGTTTACTAATTGTTTGAATCATTGTCACCACAAAAATCGCTATCATTATGGAAGAATCCTGTTTGAACCTCAACAAAGATTCGTCCAATCAGCACGGAACGACCATGGATGTAGAAATCTGAAAGCTTGGAACGCTTAAATATGTTTGCCATAAAATTTGTGAAGCCACCAGCCAATAGTCACTAATAGTGGAAGTAACAGGCCCAATTAAAAGTGGTTGACTCAACCACCCAAAGAAGCCGCTTGTAAGATACCAAATCGAGGAGAGAAAACGCTGACGTATAAAACATTTTGAAAAAAGTACCGTTTAACTATCTAAGTACCGTAAGATCTACCAAACAAACAAAGTCAATGTGAATTTGCTACAATCAAAATGTTCTCGTTACTCATGAATTTTCACTTGTGCGCGCATATAAACAGTAGCAATAAACCAGTTAATTCATCACTTCCCTGGAAGTGAAGACTTTCTTCTTAGAGAGACACATGACAAAGTTTCGAAAATCTCTTACAAAATACAAGACAATTAGTGGATTAACAACTGGACACCAAGCAAATAAAAATGGAAAGTAGTTCGATGCCTCGCCAGTTCGTCCTTCAAATAATGGCGCCAAAATTGAAACATAGAACGGTAGGTGCAGCAGTACGAACGGTGAGACGGACTACAACGACAAAAATTTCAAGTGCTGCCACCGTGTACTAGTAAGTACCAATAAAAGTTTAATAATTTGCATATTCGACTTTCTCGGGCCAAAAACACACTTTCCATCATAGCAAATGTACTCCAGATTTGTTGCGTGTGATACCTCAACTTTGGCAACGTACATGATTTTCGACTATTTTTGAAATCTAGAAGAAACCGAGAATTCCGATTATATACTATATATTATATTACTGCAACAATTGTTTTTCCTGTAATTATTCTAATCATAAAGTGGTTCGACTGGTAATATGAAAAGTTCACATTTGCTCCTGATTCCTCAGAGCTGCCTTTTCAGCAGGTGTTACTAGTGTATGGATGCCTTGCGTATTCGGCAGAGGAAATCTCGACAACGCCTTTGTCTAAAGAAATGTCATGTATCTAGACACAAACTTACCACCAGCATTTGTGCAAAAAATCCTAGCGATTGTCTTCGGGAGGTTCAAATTCATATTTACTGTTTATAATTAGCTAGTAACATACGAAATGTCCGATTTTGTCGTTTTAATTTTTCACGTAGATTTTTTAAAAAATTGTCTTTCATGTATCGCGAATATAAAACTTTAAAGCACAAAATCTTCTCTTTTTATGGTTGTTTCAAGATTTGTTATTTTAACACTCTTATAGGCCTTAACCTTAATACCCTCCCAACGGTTTACCGCGTCATCGTTCCTGGGAGGTGTTCTGGGGTGTCGGGCTGCAATGTATAGCGGAGGAATTCATCTCTCTGGCAGGGTATCCCAAGCTAAGAAGGAGTCCGGCGTTTCCATCACGAAGCTTAGCTAAGAGTAAACCAATACTGGAATCCACCACCGTCCTGGTATCAAAGTCGCATGGTGGCAAATCTACCTCTGATCCATAAGAGCTGCGACTGCTTGTGGTGATCGAGACTTAGGGCAGACTTTCGCCAGGCTGCCCTGGGAATTTCAGGCAACCACAATAGCTTAACCAGCAAATTTTCCCGAAGAATGGAAATTATGCTGGGGCCTGCACAACGAGTGAAGATGGGCCATCCAAGTATCAAGTATCAAGTTAACTTTAGTATGAATCAGCGTCATAATCGTGTCCTTATTTATCCGAGTGGAATAGTGGGCGTAATGCCACGGCAGAAGCTCGGAATATCTTTGGCGGGTTTGGGGACAGGTTTGTTAATGAACGCATCATTCATCGTTGGCACACAAATTTTGGATCTGGGGACAAGCGCTTTGCAAACGACAAGCGTGGTAGGCCAGAAATTACGGTTAACGATGATGCACATTGTACTCTAGTTAAATTAAATCCACGTCAAACGGTCCGAGAGCTTGCCGCGTTTGAAGTCAGTGCTGTAACCATTTTAAGTCACTTGCAGTTGATTGTCAAAGCTAAAAAATGGACAAATGGGTTTCACATGAACTCAACAAAAGCAAAAACTTATTGTCTGAAAATCGGCAATTTGCTACTGATTCGCAAATATAGATATCCATTTTTGAAAAGCAATATAACTTGCGATGGAAAGTGGATACTGTCCGATAATCGTCGCCATTCTACACAATGGCTAGACGCCGATGAGAGCACACGACATACGCTTGGACCGAGTCTCCATCCAAAGAAGGCAATGGTTTCCGTTTGGTGGTCAATGGTCGGTATAATTTATTAAACATTCTAACGGCCTAGCGAAAGGATTACATCGGAGAAATACTATGCTGAAATCGAAAAAGCGCATCAAAAAATGCGCGTTAAGCAGCCGGCTTTAGTCATTAGAAAGGAACCAATATTTCCTCATGACAACGCAAGACCGCACGTCTTCCAAATGATATTGAGAAAACTGAATAAAATGCATTACGAAACTACCATGTCCGCCTTATTCGCCAGATTCATCGCACGCGGATATTGATTTTTCAAGCATCTGGACCACTTTATGACGAAAAAATCTTCAACGATCAAAAAACCTGCCCACTGTTCTCCTCCAGAGCCGGTCCTCCAAATACTGAGCACAAAATTTTTCCTTCATTTCGCACTTCTTCCACTTGGCGAACATCTGGTTTTGTCGGCTTCGTTGACAGGTGCGTAGTATTCGCAATTCGATGTCCAGTACTCGGTGACTGTCCTCTGGTAGTACGCATATACCGTGTAGTCGTCTTCGTTTGATGAAGTTCGGAACGACTCGATGTTTTAGACAGCGGCGTAGAAAGTGTATTGAATGTCGAACTAAGACGATCTTTTGTTTCAGTGACAGCGCTTCTTTTACAAGTCGGAAGTATCTTGCTGCTACATCTTGCAGTAACTCCCACGACCGACTTTCTATTAACCTCGGCATTGATCAAGTAATTCTTCGTATTTTTGTTGAGTAAACGCGAGGTGTTATTATTCTTTATTCACGAATAAGCTGACGTTTCGGCGGAGTCGGCCGTGGCAGTTACTGCAAGTTGTACCAGCAAGATACTTCCGACTTGTAAAAGAAGCGCTGTCACTGAGACAAGAGATCATCTTAGTTCCACAGTCAATGCAGTTTCTCCGCCGCTGTCTAAAACATCGAGTCGCTCCGAACCTCATCAAACGAAGACGACTACGCGACGTATGCAGACCACCGGAGGACAGTCACCGAGTACTGGACATCGAACTGCGAATACTACGCATCTGTCTACGAAGCCGACAAAACCAGATGTTCGCCAAGTGGAAGAAGTGCGAGACGAAAGAAAACCTTTGTGCTCAGTATTTGGAAAACCGCCTCTGGAGGAGAATAGTGGGTAGACTCTGAGGGAGGCGAAATCCGCCAAAATGTCAGCTTATTCGTGAATAAAGAATAATAACACCTCGCGTTTACTCAACAAGAATACGAAGAATTACTTGATCAATGCCGAGGTTAATAGAAAGTCGGTCGTGCGATCAAAAAACCGTTGAAAATGCCTTTAAAGAATTCATCGACATAAGAATAGACAATTTTTATAGTAATAAAATCGCAAAATTTGTTTCTTTTTGGAAAAATGTGCTGACTGTAATGGTGCTTATTTTGATTAACAGAAATTAGCATGCAAGAAGGTATGGCTGTTAAAAATTTACATTTGGGGTCAGACATTTTATTTGTTACAACCTAGTACTTTCTTTCATGGTAGGATTTTGTGTAAGATACAACCGGAGTGATACTGAGGCGTTTGCAAAACTGGAACCCTAAGCCAGCTTCGAACTCGCAACTACCTTTTCGGGGCTCACTTGCCAGCCACTACACCACCGAAGCCCTCAATTTGCCTTTCTCTTAGCTAGTTTTTGTTCCTAAGCTATGTCATTAGTAATTATCCGTTAAACGGGAGTAATATCACCTGTGTCACCCGTAGTCCCGTTGATCGTCGAGTGACTCGAGCGGGCGCCAGTAAATCTTCCATTTTTCTCTGTCGCGTACAAGACTAGCCCAGTGGGTTCTGCTTGCTCTAGAGACTCGTCGAGCATCATATCTTTTTTCAAGGCTCTTTGCGAAGAACTCTGACCATCGGGTCTGTGGCCTTCCTGCAGTGTGTTTGACAACCCGAGGAATCCAGTCACTAACAGCTCTTGTCCATCGGTTGTCATTCATACGCATTACGTGTCCGGCACACCTTATTTTCGACTGTTTGGCGTACAGAACGGCATCTTTGGTTTTTGATCGTTGACGCAGGTCGGAGCTCCGGATCCCTTCCCTTATTTACGTGACACGGGATACTCCTAGCATCACCCTTTCGACAGCGCCTTCAATAACGCTGAGTGATTTTTCATCCTGCTTACGCAGCGACGAGGTATCTGACGCACACGTTAGAGCAGGAAGTACCGTTGAGTCGAAAAGGTGGGCACGGAGTCGGGTGTTCTTTGTCCTCTTCACTGCATCCTCGATGCTCTTGAAAGCTCCCCAAGCCGCTCGTTTCCTTCTGCTTAGCTTTCGAGCTAAGTCGTTCATCATACTGATTTACCAACCAAGATAAACATAACTAGAGAATTCGAAGACATCACAATTTTAGCTTATTATTTACTGCCTACTCTTTTTAATGGCAGGGCATATAATGCGAAATATAACTTTAATGATGCTGAGATATTTCCAAAATTCCAGACCGAAGTTGTCTGCGGTGGGGAACGAGCGCACTATTGTATTTTCGGAGAGTAACGCGTTCACCACCAAACTATGCGGGTCCTTCGTTTGTGCTGTCACAGCTAGTTCCATCGATCTTTTGCCATCAGCAATCACCCGTTAGCGGAATTCCCGAAAGGACAATAGTACGTTCGTTTCCCACTGCAGACACGTGCGGACCGGAGTTTTGCAAATATCTCAGCATCACTGAAGTTATAATTTGAAGATATTCGTTCCCTTGAGCGTAAATGGGGCATACGAAACCAATCTGTTCCTCATCAACAATGTTTTTGTGGGATTTAGACGAAGACCGGTCTTTCCACATACTCCATCAAACTCGGCAAGCATACGTTCCACTTGGCTAATGTTTAGTATTATAAGGACGATATCATCAGCAAAGCGAAGATAGTGTAGCTGCCGACCATCGATTTTCACTCCAATATTATCCCATTCCAAAGTTTGCATGACTTTATGGAGGGTGGCGGTAAATAATTTTGGCCAGATGGTGTCGCCTTGCCTAACCCTTCTTTTGGAATCAATGTTAATATCGTTGCATAATGGTGATATCTCGGTTTTGAAATCTTTGTACAGCTCACGAAGAATCTTTATACACTGAGTTGGGACTCCTTGACTATCAAGGGCTTTCATGCCTTCTTCTATCTCAATTGAGTCAAAGGCCTTCTTTAAATCGATGGAAGTGGGACAGTCTTTTGTACTTTTGCGATACTTCGATGCGACAAGTTATCGTGTAGATGTGGTCCATCGTACTAAATCCTCTTCGAAACTGCTTGCTCACATGGCTGTCCTTCGTATAGTGTTCTGTCAATCCTGTTTAGCTCGACTCGAGTGGAAAGCTTGTAGACGACAGACAGCAAGTAGAATGGGTGATAGTTGCCGATATCATTGGGGTCACCCTTGTTGAGTATTAGCACGGTTTTGCTGATCTTTCATTTAGTGGGGACCTTGCATTCGAACAGGTAACGTGTCAAGAGCCTAGCCAGTGTCTTTACGAGAACTGGCGGAAGGTTCTTCAGGTGTTTTGGTCTTATCCTCTTCGGACCTCGTGCTGTTTGATTTTTCACCGGCGAAATGGCATGTCGGATTTCGGAAGGGAGAACCGGTGGTGCAACATATCCGTCCTCCTTTATTTCATATGACTGAAGGTGGACGTGACTATCGAAGAAATCCGAGTAGTATTCGCGAGTGATTTTCTCCATTGCCTTTCTGGACGCTGTAGCTGTTCCGTCTGGGCACCGGAGAGCAATCATTTTGGTCTTGTAATTGGCGAAGCTTTGATGGGCTTTGTGAATGCTTTTTCCAGCTCCTTCAGCTTCGGCCATTACTGCTGCTCTTCGCTCTTTATGATTTTCTTTTATCGCCTGTCTGGATTGTTTTGCAAGTTCGGACGTTAGTTTGTGGTGGCCTGCAGCTCGTGCGATTCCACGCTGGAGTATCAACTCGAGTGTTTCTGGAGAGAGACGTCCCTTGGTGATTTTCGAACTCTTAGCTTTCATAGCGCTAACGTGAAGATGTCGAATGAGCCGATCGTATTCTTCGTTGATCTTACATGTCTACTGTGTAGATTCTAGCACTTCTTGCATTCGATTCATTTTTCTCACATTCATCGTTCACAACGGTCTTCGAATATTTCGCGTTTTGGCGTTTTCTTTCAGTTGCTGCTTAGAGGTTTCTTCTTTATGAATATTTTATAATACTTGTCGAGCCAATTTTTTTTGCAATCTTGGAGATAGATGGACTAAGCCGTTCTCGAGTGGATTGGAGAGCGGTCGAACGTTACGCTTTGGTTCATGATCGACGACGACGCTTATCATTGCGCTATTTTTCTTTATATATATACATATATATATATATATATATGCGTATGTACCTATAATACGTGGCCAGTGGTGGTGTAGTGGCAGTGACACCTCTCAATAGATACGAGGCCGTCGTTTGACCACCCACTGGCCCACCCGTCGAAAGCTAGCCTGGTCCTCCACTTCTGCAGGTCCGAGCAATTAGTGGAAAAAGAATTGTGTATGGGAAGGTTAAAAAAAGGATGAATCGAAGAATCAGTAGGCTACGGTAGGTTATCGTAAATGTTAGATACACACTCAGTTACGTTACGTTTGCAATCTTCATTGGACTCAAATACATCAGGTATCCCTGAGGGACTCCTCAATGCCGAATGCTTTATTCGCTTTTCTATCCATTTCCAAGTTAAAATTAAAAGCAAGGTTGTAAACATACTTGCGCAACAAGTATCTTGCATAGCTGCAATTGTATTTGTCGACTATTGCCGGAGGCCTCATTCACTGCTCGAACGATACGTGTTGAGCAGAAGATCATCACACTCATCGTCAAAATCATCATCGCAATCACACAGATTATACCGGTGAATAACACGATTGTTTGCAGTTTGTCAAGTTCCTCACCACGTTTCTGAAGTTCCTTTTTGAAATCGGAAATGTTTTTCATAGACGGTGTAACAAAAAGAATTTAAGAGGCATTACTAGAGTAAAGAACATAGTCTGCTGACTGGCCTAAAACTCTCTCCATTTGTTATAATAGGAGAAAATAAACTGTGTGCTAGTTCATTCGACCTTTTTCTGCCACAAAAACCAGGAATTGCCATGGCTCGCAGAGATTCCTAAGTGCCTCATGTACCCCTTCAGGTGTAAGCAATGCAAATCTTTGTATTCCTTATCATTCATCGTCTGGTGCAGTGGTCGGAGGCGCCTTGCAACGCACACATGGAATCGATCCCTGCGCCCCTGGCCCACCAAGCCTTCCATATCTCCGGCGTCGGAAAATTGGTACAAGACTTGTCTGAGAGAATAGCAGCACTGGCTCGATACAATGGTAGGCCACCGCGAGTTACTCTAATGGCCAGATATGCATTCAGTCACCTCCAAACGATGCTTAATGAAGTCGAATGCATGGCGCATCCCTAAGGGATTGATCAACGCTGACACGCCGAAAGCTTTACGTTTTTTTATCATTTCTCGTCACTGCACTGAATCGATATAGTCCCCGTTAAGTGAGTCAATTGATTCACTGCTTCCTTTAAGCATCATTAGTGAAATTGCGGGAGGTGTTTAATTACCTTCAATGTCGCCACTAAGAAGGTAGTGTTTCTGGCGACATTTATCTTATATGCGATTTTTGAGAAGATCTCCAAATCCATTGCTGTAGGCCACGCTGCGAAACAGATCATACCGCAGACAGCAGTCGAAAGTAGAAACGACCCCATAAAAAAGTATCCTAGTCGTTGGAACGATTGCTTAACAGTGTATTTCCTAAATATGTCGTATTCATAATTCTAATAGTACCTGCAATTTTTAAATGATTATAAAGTATAGAAAAATTGCACCGACTTGATGTAAAAAGTGAATTAAAGAACTAAAGCAGAATAAGCAAGTGAAAGTAAGGACCCGCATAGTGTAGTGGTGAAAGCGTTAGCCCCGGAAAGGATAACGGCGCGTTCGTTCCTCTCCGCAGATCTGCGGTTCGGAATTTTGCAACAATGTTGTGGTTGTATTTCGTATCATACTTGCCGTGAAAAATTATGGTAGGCAACAAATAAACAGTTATCATTAAAGTAAAGTAATTTGACGTAGAACAAACGCAAATCTATCAATTATCTGCAACATTTGGAAGCACCAGGTGAGACATCGACTGCTGCCCACTTTCTGCTTAATTATTCATCAGTTTAAAACAATGGTTCATCGCATCATCTTCACCGGATGTAGGGCATTTCTAGGTTTCGAACAGCGTCTTCGAAACCGAAAAGGAACGCGGGATTTTCAGAGAAAAGCCCACCTATGAGGGTGTCACTGTTATCCCGCGAACACCACCTGGCACATTAAGATTATAGGTGAAAATCGTATCAAACCAAGAAATTACCAGCTTTCTTCTTGAGTTGTTGACACGTCATTTAAATAGAATATTCATTGCGCTGCTTTCTCCGTTATCTAACTACGATAAAGTGGGAGGAGGTGACGGATTGACCTACATCACCTGTCGTCTTGTGATGGTGGAGTGACCCGAGCCTGCTTCAATAAGCCTCTGACTTCTCACTGTCGCGTGGAAGACTCAATAGATTCTGATCGACTCATTCAACATCACTTTTCCTCTAGAGCTTTTATAAAGAACTCTAACCATCTCGTCCGCGGCCTTCCTACTGTGTTTTTGACACCGATCCAATGGCTAATGTCTCTTGTCTACCGCTTATCATTGAAGCACATTACGTGTCCTGCCCACCTTATCCTCGACATTTTGGGGTATAGAAAGGCATCTTTTGTTTTTGACCGTTGGCGTTGGTCGGAGCTTTGGGTTCCCTCTCCTCACTTACGTTATACGAGATATTTTTGACATGGTCCTTACCATTCTGCCTTTTAAAATGCCGAGTGATTCTTCATCTTGCTTACATTGCAACAGATTTCTTATGCACATCACAAGGCAAAACTAATCATGAAGCTCGAAAAGGGTGTACGCAGTTGGGTGCTCTAGGTACTCTTCACTACATCGTCCATGCTCACGAAGGCCTTCACGTAGCCCGTTTGCTCTTGCCCGACTCTGGAGCTAAGTGATTCATTATGTTAACTTCCCCACCTATATAGAGGTAACTTGAACATTCGAAAATACTCCTCCTGTTGAGGGTGAGTGGGGCATACGTAACCAATCCGCTCTTAATGAACACCGTTTTTGTGCGATTTAGTCGAAGACCGATCTTTGCACAGCTTAAAGCAGGCTAGCATTGGATGCGCCTTGCTAATGGTGTTCCAAAAACATCATCGGCAAGGAGAAGATAGTGTTATTGCTGACCATCGTTTTCACTCTCATACTGTCCCATTCCAATGTTGACATGACATTTTGGAGGAGAACAGTAAATAACTTCGGCAGATGGTATTGCCTTGGCTAATCCCCCTTTTGACATCGATGTTAATATTGTAATAGAACGGTGATATTTCTGATGCAAATTTTTTATACAGCTCACGAATCTTTATGTAATGAGCAGACCCGCTGTGCTTGTCCACAGCTTCCACGACTACTTCTCATATCGGTCAGAAGCTTTCTTTAAATCGATGTAAGTGAGATACAGAAGTCTATCGTACTATCGCGGCACTTCAGTGAGTCTTGTTATCGAGAGGATGCAGTCCATTACAGTAAAACCTTCTCGAAAGCCTGCTTGCTCGAGTCGCCGTCCTTGGTTCAGTGTTCTGTCAATTCCGTTTAGGACGATCCTTGTGAAGCGTTCATAAAAGATACACAGCAAGCAGGTTGGGAAATTGTTATCGATATCGTTGATGTCACAATTTCTGAACAACAAAAGGGACATACTGGCCTTCCATTGACAAAGAACTTTATCTGACAAGGTGTGAAGAGCCAAACCAGTGTTACCATTCCTGGTTTGGCTCTGCAGGTGTTCCTTAGCCTGTCCAGGTCAGGTTTCACTCGATGTTTTACCGTCGAAATAGCCCTCGGAGTTCGAAAGCGAGATTCGGTGAGGTGATAAATCCACCATCAGTTATTTAAGATGATGGACCGATGAGGTGGAAATCGTGGAGATCCGTGCAACAATAATTGCTTTTGCCATTGCTTTTCTGAAAACTGTAACTATTCCTTCCATACTTCAAAGAGCAAGCACCTTGACCGTGCAATTGTTTTCGCAATTGTTTGGTTTCAGTGAGTTTTAAGAATACATTTCACAGCCTCTGCAGCTTCGACCATAACTTATGCTTCTCTCTTTAAGAGATTCTTCTATCGGCTTTCTGCAGTGTTGCGCAAGTTCAGACATGAGTTAGGCGTGATAACGGCATCTTGCTAAGACCCAGCTAATCATTTTAATAAAGAGCAGCTTACGGACGGTGGTTCTGGGACTTCCTTCTTGAATTGCGACTTTGCGACTTCTATCTCTTTTATGAGAAATTAAATATTGCGCAAAGGAGGCAATAGTATGATCCCTCGCAGAATTTTAGGACAGCTGCGGCATCGGTTAGGTGAGACCTTCGGTTTACTGTGATGTGGTCTACTTAGTTGTGGTGTTTCCCGCTGAGAAGTTTCCACATCCAGCTGTGAAACGATGCCTCTTGAATTGTGAGTTACTTTGAATGGCCTTGGTCGTCATGACGAGCGCAAACTACAGCTCACACTGCTCCTTTCATCAAAATCCGTACTACTGAATGTGGCGTCCTCCAGAAATTTTCGTGAGTGGGTCCAACCATAGCGCTAAAATTTCCAATGATAATCTTAGAGATTATATGGGCTGCTCTGTAGAACTTCTTCAAGTCCATGTTGAACGCTTCGGCTTCGTCATCGTCATAGCTTGATGTCGACGCGAAGAAGACGAAGATTATCAAAGCTGGTATTAGTCCACATTTCTTGAATCGTAAACATCCGATTCAGGTTGTTAGTTGTCAGAATGAATCGATGTTTATGCCCAAACTCGTGTTATGGAGAGCACCAGTCTCCTCGACTCCTCCATCCATGCTCCGAGGAACAGTTCTTCTCCGGTGCTAGAGACTGCGTTGAATGGGAAGCGTCTTCTCATTCCAGCCAGTCCGATAGTGTCATACATCATTCTTCTTAGCTAGATGATGAGGTCTCCTATAGAAGACTCAAATGCAAATGAACGTAAATTGTAGGTACATATTGTTATCGTAGCCTTTCGAGATTTTGCAGTGCTAAAGACACTGAAATTTTAGCAGCCTCTACGTGCTCCACCTGCCCAGTTATGCCCTATCGGGTGAGTCTCTTTCGAGATCGCGGTAATGATGGTCTTTTATTTTACAGCGTCTAGCTTTTGATACCCAGCTATAGCTTGCTAAACTCTGAACGCATGGGCTAGGTATACTCTACGGGTATTAGCTCCCAGAATCGACTTTCTATTAACCTCGGCATTGGAATATGAATGTGTCGCTTTCTTGTTCAGCAATCGCGAGGTTTTTAAACAGCATACATTTACTTCCATAAAAAAAACACAATACAATACAACGCTAGCTGACGTTTCGGCAGTATCGCCTTCTTCAGAGCCTGGAAGGGTATGCTGATATACAATCTACTAGACCAAACGCTTCAATAGCACTTACAAAATGACGAAGAAGTCTTTGGTAATTCTCAACAACAGCAACAACAACAACAACAACAACAACAACAACAACAACAACAACAACAACAACAACAACAACAACAACAACAACAACAACAACAAACAACTCAACAACAACAACTCAACAACAACAACACGATCAACAACTTCTCGAAGAACCCACTGCTTTTTCGTGACTTCCAATGAGGAAGTTTAGAACAGCTGATTATAGTCGCATGTGGTTGACGACTGCACCATCCCACATCAAAAATCGATGCAAACATACGGGATCAGGTCGCGTATGACCTCCGGGCATTCATCCCTGCTATTCATTTTTTCGAGAAGTTGTTGTTCATGTAATTACCGAAGAGTTTTTCGTCTTTTTGTAAGTGTTGTTGAAGCGTTTGGCCTAGTAGATTGTATATCAGTATACCCTTCCAAGCTCTGAAGAAGGCGGTACTGCCGAAACGTCAGTTAGCGTTGTATTGTACTGTGTTTTTTTATGGAAGTAAATGCATGCTGTTTAAAAACCTCTACGGGTAGTTTTCCAATCTCTTTCAGATGATACAGGTAATCTTGTTTATTGGAAGTAACTCTTAACCTCCTGCTACTTGGTCGAATTTTTTCTTTGAATACAGTCCGCATAAGCGAGAGCACATCGACGAACGTATGCATGAATGTGTCTTCTTAAAAACAGAAAGTGTATGCCAAATCGAAAAATCATGAAGCCCATCCATGAATTAACCGTACGTATAAAAAAGAGCAAGATCGGTTTTGATCTACTTCTAACCCCCTATCGGCCACCTGGGGACGCGACACACTGCTTCGAGACAAGCCGCTAGGAGATGTTCTGCAAGGGAGATCCATGGAGCTGCATTACATACAGTGGAATTTATCAAAGCTTACCAAGGCAACAATCAACTTAAGATTTCCATTGAGAAATCACGGAAAAGCCCACTTCTTCAGAAACAGGAGGGGGCGGATATAGTTTTGAGGTTTCACAGGAAGTAATGGCGACTGTACTGCTGGTCGTTAGCATTATTCAATTAATAACGGGGTAAATGGTGATTTAGGTGGATTATTCAGTAGATAGCTGCAGTTGTCTAATTGCTTTATAAATAAAGAGTTCGGCAAACTCTAAAAAACTATCCAATAGTTCATGCTGCCGTCGACGTTTAAGCATTTTACGACACTATTTATGTACCCTCTTAATGGTTTTCCAAATCGAGGTGAAGTGGAACGTTAAGGTCCGGGTGTATTCACTCCCAATTAAAGCTGTTTGTGCAGAAGCACCTCCTAGATTTTATCAAGGAAAACCATCTAGGTGTAAGTATAAGTAAGCGTGGAGGGAATATTGTCGTAAAGCGGGTAGCAACACTCCGACCTATTGAAAAGGGTCGAGGAATGCATGTTATGATGAAATGGCCATAAATGAGGTAGCCCAGTTTTCTCAGGGTTCCAGGAAAAAACAAAGTTGTTCGACTAGTGCTAAATAAGTTGAAGTACAAGGACATTTGGAGCTTCCGGCTAGGAACTTATGCGATTAAATAATAACAAAGTTCCCCACGGCTAAGTTGGCATGATAAAGGGAGCAAATTCCACTGAGCAAATTATTCACTTCGTAAAACCTTTTGAAACCGTTATGCCGTTGTTTTGCGCATGGAATAAAAGCTTAGAATGTAAAAAAGTGACTTTGGCTAATGGTTCAAGAAGTTTCTTAACCATAAGAATTACACCTTTAGCACTGCTATGACTCTATTATCGCCTACTCACCTACATATCTGAAGATATCGAAAAACAAACATCGATGGCGGAATAATAAGGGACTGGCAGAACAGGAGCACGAATATCACTAGTAGAACACGTCCACAGATCGTTGGCATCTCGATGCCGCCGTTGACGATCAGCAGCGCTGACATTTCAGGCGTTGCAGCAAACGTCTAGAACTATGTGAGCATTAGAACGGACACAATTAATAGGAATGTTATTAGTGTATTAAAACTGTCGGAAATGATTTAGAAAAAGCAAAGTTTTCAATAAGCAGAGGAGAAAACTCTTGTTAAGTCACGCTGCCATATCCATGATTTATTAATAAATTAGCTGAAGGTAAGAGCACAACAACCATAAGGACCTCACATTGTACAAACGATTATAGCACACTGCCGATTTTTTTTCGTCTTGCTCCAAACTTTTTATACACGTTATCTTATTTTTCATTTTGCATATGTCTGTTCTTTTTCAACAACGAAAGTCATAAATAAGCGAGGAAGGTTGTATAAGAGTTGATGGGACCCAAATTATGTTCATTACCCTAAGAAAACTCTATCCGTTGCAGTTTTATAAATTCTGGAGATTACGTCACAACAGAGAGTGAAATATTGTATCGTTTGCATCCAACATTGGTTAACAGAGAAGACCCAATCCTCTTGAACGTCGACGGCGGAATAATAAGGGACTGGCTAAGGATCGTCACTCGCCCGTGTGTTGCACGATTAGCTTCACCGAAGTGGAGCGAATTGGGATAGGAAAAAGTGGCTCACCCAGCGTAGTCACCAAGCTTCTTTCCAACCGACTGCGACTTTTTTCAGTACTTCGATGACTCATTTCAAGGAGAAATTCTCAGTAAGAAGAACGCCTCGAGAAAGGAACCTGAAAGATTCCTTGGTTTCACATCTTCAGGAATCTGTGCTACCGGGATGGATGCATCTGCATGTTCTTGGAAAACTGGCCCATATTATGATAGTTATTATTTTGATGTGCAGAGTGATACAATTTTTGGGAAGAAATTTACTTCTGGCATCGGCATAGATGCCGTTTGCTTTATTATGCGACACGAACTCACCGGACTAGATGCGATATAAACTGCACTGAAGCAGATGTCGAACCCAGCACATGCGACCATCAATTGCTTGTAAGATCCGATCACTCGTGACGGTCGATTACGAATCACATAGATTAAAAAACTATTTAGTGATATCGATATCACACCGAAAACATAGGAGTTGATTGACGACAGGCCAGACTGTACTATCACGGATGGCATTCCCTGAATGTTTTTGCTCAAACGGATGAAAGCTGGACATGAAAACTGCTTAAGAGCATATGAAGGACGATGTGGTCACAAAATTTTATGTGTTGGCAGTTCAGTGGTAGTATTCGATTTTAATATCGTTCTCATTGTGAAGCAACTCAAAGGTTATTTTTCCCAAGACCGAAGTTCTGTTAACCTCAGCGTTGATTGATAATTCGATATTTTTGCTTCAATAAGCAGACATGGGGTTGTTATTATAGAATTTATTAGGATACAAAAGCTGACGTTTCGGCGGTTTGGCCTTCTTCAGAGCCTGGAAAGGTCAAATTGAGATGCGATCTGCCCAGCCAAACACTTTCATAACCCCAGCAGATAAAACTTAACAAATAAATTTGTATTCGCATATTAAACAGCTTCATTTAAACACTTACCATTTATTTGCTGTAAGCATTTAAGTTGGTGGATAGCAGCCGCACAGAGTAATATATGGGCGAGAAAACACAACGGAGAAGATTTTGAAGTAGGAGTCAGTATCCTCACGCAAGAATCGAAAACATCAGCGCGTGAAACTCTTGAAGCGTTTTGGATCAATTCCAAAAATTCAATGATGGACCGCAAGGAGGAGTGCCTTGTCATCACGCGTGACCTGGCGCCATACCTCAGGCTAATCCGATGACCTGGCACAGGCATAGTTATCGCCCGTGTATTACTCTGTGCGGCTGCTATCCACCAACCAACTTAAATACTTACAGCAAATAAACGGTAGGTGTTTAAATGAAGCTGTTTAATATGTGAATACAAATTTATTTGTTAAGTTTTATCTGCTGGGGTTATGAAAGTGTTTGGCTGGTTAGATCGCTTTTCAATTTCACCTTTCCTGGTTTTGAAAAAGACGAAACCGCCGAAACGTCAGCTATTGTATCCTAATAAATTCTATAACAACAACCTCGTGTCTGCTTATTGAAGAAAACATCGAATTATTTTTCCGTTTTTTAAAATTGATGGAGTAAACATGAACGAAAATGATGATGTGCTTCAAAAGTCTGATGATTGTGAGCTCAGTAGCATCTCATTAAACTCCACTGTACTTCGCTTGAATCATGTTTGATCACGAACCCAGCACGAACAGCGATCGGATCGTCTTCTCAATATGTCAATTTTTTCAGCAATGGTTAACTCGTGAAACAAGATTGGATAACACGAAATGAATTAGTAGCCGTCTAGCCAAAGTTTTCTTTATTTTGTGTGGTTTGTTTCCCACCCGTTTTCCTACTTTCTAGTGGATGATTCTGACCGTTCGATTTCGATTTACAGAATGAGCTCACCTTAGTATCTGAACATCTTAAGCTAGGAAGGATCTCAATACTTTACATTTTCTTTGGGAAATTTAAGGTTAATAGTGAGATACTACCGGGAATCGTCATCGCACTAACGAGCTAAACAGAGCAAGGGAAATATCCCCTCCAGCTCACAAGCTCGGCGACTATATGTGCTTAGAATTTAAGAGAGCCTCATTGAATGGTTATTTTAATAGTCAAAGGAAAGAAAATCTTTACCAACTACTAAATTACTTATGGTATGGAAATCGCACTAGTTTAGAGAGCAAACGGAAGATGTGGTATCCAGTTATTCAAGTGCGGATTAGTTTATTTTTTCTTCAAAAAAGGATCATTTTCGTGGTAGAACTAACCGTGTCCGATCTAAGCTCACCAACAAAATCACTTTTTCTTAAAAAATTGTTTAGGTATAGATACTGTGGTGCACACTGGAGTGATTGAGATTCTAGATGCATTTTCATTGAGGTAGTTGAAAAAGTAAATGTGTTTTTAGTCACCATTTCATGAGGAATGTAGGATAAACCTCTCCGCATTGTTTGCTACCTGACACATTAGAAAACTTAAATGCAAGACTTTACGAAAAATCAATAGCTGAGGTTAAAAATAGCAAAAAAAAAGTGGAATAAATGGGAGTTGGAATGTCACCGTTGTTCTTCGTGGTTTTCTCTTTTGATGAAACGTAAAAATTGTCATCGCTATGGGAAAGACAAACATCACAATCTCAGTTTTTTAACCTTGTAAAAAATAGCACCAAAAGTGCGAAAAATGTTAGCTCGGCTCTAGTCGTACCTGCTTAAGAACTATCGTGCTGCCAGGAAGTTGATGAATAATCTGATTTTTTCGATGGTAACAATGAGTTTTCTAAGCAATTTGTGCGTTTTTGTGCTATAAAATTAAAGAGCTCATGCTTCATTTTAGTATTTTCACTAGTACACTGCTTTTCTCCTTAACTTTATTCAGTTTTGGTTGTGAAACCAAAACAAGGTGAAGCGTCATTTTCCAAGTTACCGAAGCTCCTTTGACTCTTCAGTATCTGTTGACACATTAAATTCACCGGTTGTTTCTTTTACCAACTTTAGTTTACCTGTTGCCGTTCAATTTCTGCGAGACTATGCTTCTACCACTCTCCAGCCAACCAAGCCTACCATTTCTCCAAAAGTGGGGAAGGTGGCGTCAAACCCATATGGGCTGTACACTACTCTGAACCGCAACACGAATCGAAAGCGAGAATCTTAAACTAACCGAAACATTGCTGAGATATTTGCAAAACTCCAGACTGCTGGTGTCTGCGGTGGGGACAGACCACGCTATTACCCTTTCGGGTAGCTAACGAGTTCACCTCCACACTATGTGAGTCCTTTGTTTCGGCTGTTCAGCCATGATCTCTGGGCACTATCAGCAATCACCCGTCAACGGGGCTGATCTGAGGAGCGCAAATTGGCATGAACCTAGTTAAGCTGAAGTTATGCTATAAATCACGATACCGTCAACTTTAATTTACTGCCTACCAATTTTTAATGATAGGGTATTATGTGAAATATAACCATAATGTTGCTGATAGCGCCTATAGGTCAATAACACGACTAAGAGACAGGTGAAACGAAAGACTCGCATGGTGTGATGGCGAACGCGTTAGTCTCCGGAAAGGGTAATGGAAGGTTCGTTCACCACAGCAAACACCAAATGTCCGGAATTTTTCAAATATCTGAGCATCACTGAAGTTACATATCGCAACATACCCGGCTATTAAAAAGAGTAGGCAGTAAATAATAAATTAGAATTGTGTTTATGGTTATATTTTACACAACACTCTAACACTAAAAATTAGTAGGCAGTAAATGAAAAATCTTAATCTGGTTGTAGGACCGGCTCATAAAGGATGACATTCTACGACCTAGAACACAAATTCTGCTCTACATAGTTTTTTAACGGGCCAAGGATAGAGCAGTGGTTAGTGATTTCGTCGATCAAGAAGCCAAGAGACACTAGTTTAAACCAATTCCCATCGCTCTCATCCTCTCTACGTGTGAACGATTTAACATAGTTATCTCCCAAGATTGTAAGATGAAGGTACCGAAGTAATTACGAAGTGGTACCGAAAGCCAAGTAGTAAAAACATCTTGGTACATTACCTCTCTTTTCACCACTCTCACACGAAAAGAGCGCTTGTAAGAAACATGTTTCGAACGGCAACCAACGTGTGCACGGGAAGGGAGCAGAGAGAGGAGTCCCGGAACTTGGAGCGGCAAATAGCCATTTCTAATGGCTACGAAGCTGTAGATCAGGATAGGTGTAGAGGAAATCCTAGGCCTCCAAACGGCAACTCTGGCGATAGAAGGGTCCCGTTTATCCTACTCTTCATCTCAAATCATGTAAGTGCAGCTATAAAACGCTGCTTAAGAAGGGCAGATTTAGAGAAATCGGCAAACGTAGTTGAAATACCACCGAGTAATGTTCGACGGCAGCTAGTTCGTAAACGCCTAAATGACCGTCTATGTACAATGCAAAATTGCATAATTTGCCCCAATGGTAAAGACAGTGATTTCGTGAGCTCGGGTATAGTTTATCTGATTTCCTGTAAGACGTGCGGAGACGAATACATTGGCGAAACGGGCAGACCCCTCTGTGTCCGCATAAAAGAACACCTAGCCAGAAAATATAAACCAAATACCCCGCTAGGTGCGCATAGGATTCAGAGACATAACGGGGAGGACTTTGAAGTACGTGTCACGATCCTCGCGCTGGAATCAAGCGCGCAAAACACTCGAGACGTTCGGATTAATTCCAGAAATCCGAAAATGAACCGCAGGGAAGAATGCTTCAACATCACGCGTGATATTGGGCAGTATATAAGACTGTTATTCTGATGGGAGGAGCACATCAAGCTTCCATGTGAATTCTGCGCGGTTGGTCTCCACGCGACATACTCAGTAAAAACCTCATAGAAAGAAAGTGGTGAGCGTGCAAAGCTGCGTTCAATGTGATTGAAATTTTGGTTCAGCATTTTCTCTGTTTGGTTGTGAAGGTGTTTGGCCGAATAGGTTGCTGTCGACGTGACCTTTCTAGGCTCTGAGGAAAGCGAAATCCGCCGAAACGTCAGCTTGTACGTAAATAAGGAAATAAGGTAGCACGTCGTGTTTGCTGAACAAAAGTAGAAAAAATTGTAAGAAGAATTCACTCGACCAGCATTCTAATAAGCTCATGAAGAACACGAATTCCTCAATCAGATGCTGAATGAACACGCGGAATGCTCCACAGCCGCTGTGGATGTACGAATGAATTGAAAGCATAAAGTTCTGGGATCTGCACAGTGTATGTGACGACGAGTCATGTGAAGTAGAAAATAAGAAAAGATGAATAACTTTTTAGCAGCTGGTTGTAAATTTTTTTTCAGCAGGGTGTCATGTGAAGTATAACGAGAATCACATCCAGATATTTGCAAAACTTGGACCCCAAACCAGATCGAGCTACAATTACTCTTCCTGGAGGCTTACGTGTTACTCACGATACTATGGGATCCTCACTCTTGTTTTTCTTAGCCAGTTTTTTAACTGCAAATTGAGGACCTCAGTGGTGCCTTGCTGAGTGCGTAAGGCTCAGAAAGGGTAATCGCGGTTTGATATGGCATGGAGTCCAAATCTTGCAAATTTCTCGACATCATTGGGGTTGAACTTC